TACAACCCATGAGTCTTTCAAAATTTTTAAATTTTTTTTTTAAATTTATTTTTCAAATGAAAGGAATATACACATATATATATTCATAGATAAAATTTTTTAAATTACAACCAAATATTAAAATTAAGCATTTAAAAATAAATTTGTAAAAAAATAAAAATTTAAAAATTTTGAAAGGTTTAATTGCTATATATCTATTTGATTTATTATTTTTAAAAAAATATGCCAATCAAATCATAGAAACATAAAAAAATTCAAAAAAATTTCTAAAAAATTATATATCAACACACTTTTTTTTTTATCTTTCTCCTAACTAAAATACTTCAGTTACAATAAAATCATATGGCAAACATCATAATTGCAAGTTGTCACCTAGGACAACTATGACACTTCTTTCTCAATTTGTACAATTTGTTCCTTTAATCCAGGCCACCAGCAGTTTCAACGCACATTCTCTCAACCCTTATTGCATTTCTTCAACACTACAATTTTTCTAAGTCTTCAAATATATGTGTACAGCTTTTTCTAAGTCCTCAAATTGAATGATAGAAAAATTTAAATTAATTTTTTTAATTAGTTAAAAGATTATTTTATAATATCTTAAATTTTATTATTATCAACATTCTGTTATCCCCTCATTCCCACATTTTATTCTGTTATGGATTATAGATAGATAACCTATGGACATAGATATAGATTTGTTGACACCAGAACAAAAATAAGACTCAAACGTCAAAACAAAGGCTCAAATTGCAGACCTTGAAAGGGATTGCATTTCAAAAATAGTGCCAAGAGGGCCACTTGGGGCTAGGACCCATAAATTGTTAATATTGCAAATCGAATAGGATATTTTTTTATTTTTATGTAGATTTTTTAGTAGTTGCATTTTATTTGGAGGGTATTTTTTAAATAAGGAAAATCAATATTGTAATAAACATATTAATTAATATAGACCATGCATTCAAGTCACTCATATCCTCCTTTCTTTTATAATCCTCTAATTTCTTATATTTCTCTTATATTTCTCTCATATTTATTTTTCATCCTCGTAAACTTTTTTTATTATCATTTCAACATCCTTTCTTTCGTACTAAAGAGTCCGATCCGTTTCTCCACATATCCAAATGCACTTTTGATAGATGCAAATTCAGTTGAACCACAACTATTTTTTTGGACTAAATAAGATTTTAGGTGATTTTAAGTTGATTTAGTTTAATTCGGTTCGGATTAATCGGTTTAGAAAAGTTCATGAACACCTCTAACAACAAGAGGCATAGTCGAATTGTCTGGCACTAAGAGCGTTGATGACCATTGACAAACTTCAACTATGATTAATTCCATTCAAACCTAGAATACAGTAATCAGTAGCCGCGCATTTCGTAATCCCAAAATCAAATATTCAACGCAATAAAGCCGTAGTAGTTGATACTTGGTAGACAACGACCAAATTTGAATTCAAAGGCACGTGCGACAAAATCCTTAACCTGCCCCTCCCACGGGAGTTATTAAAAAAAAAAAAAAAAAACAGTGAAAACAGTCTGTATGAATTAGGTATGCTATAGGTAATCATAGTTGACCTTCGACACATTTTTTTTGCTTTTCCAATTTTGATTGCACCGGTCAACAACAGCTGAACAAACTAGGAATAGGAACCATCCAACCTCCTTCCATTTTTATTTCTCTCTCTAATTTCAGAAATCTTTTATATTAAGAGAATAAATATATCAATTTATTAAAAAAATATAGCTATAAGTTAATAGGATAGAATTGTATTTTCAAGCAAATTTATATATAAAATTTGAAATTTCTAATCTATTTCTTTAAATTATATTATAATTAAATAACTGTAGTTTATTTTTATAAATTAATTTTTTGATTGAAACTATCTAGTATCCGAAACTCTCTAACTTGATTAATTCGAAATCACGCTAAGTGAGAATGCAAAGAAAACCCTTTTTTCAAATTTAAAGAGACTGGGTACCTAAGTTTAAATTCCAAACATTTAATTAAAGGAGGAGAGACTATTGCCGTTCCATTTCACTGTCGAAGGTTTTATAATTATTTTATTGAGTCTCTGTCGATACGTTACTTTGCATAATTTTAATTTTTTTTTCAAACTATGTCTTTTCATTATTATGATTGCGCGTATAAAGTTATTTTTTTTTGTTTTTTATGTAAAAAAAATATAGCAGGTATATCTTTAAAAGAAGTGTTTTAAAATATACATCATTTGGAATTTTATTGAAATGCAACGAAAACTACTTTAAGTTTGAATGCTCATCATAGTATAATAAATTTGTTGTTTTCATCATAGTATATTTATTAAATGTTTTTCATTTAATAATAACCAATTTCTGAATAACAATTACTATATTTTTATTTTACTAGATAGTACAAATTATTTTCATAATAATTTTAATTTATGTAACAATTATATTTATATTTATTAAAATATAGTAACTATAAAAAATTAGTATATTTTATTATATACAAATCAAATTTATATTTATCAAAATATTGCTAATGTAAATTTTTTTTTTTGGTAGAACAAAGAAGGTGTTAATCTCCATTAAACCTAAAATATATGTCTTTAATACTCTAATAAATGCATTTACGGGCCGGAAATTGAACTCTTGAAGAATACAAACGTGAAAGGCATGTGTTTTTTTTTTTTTTTTTTCATTTACGGGCCGGAAATTGAACTCTTGAGAATACAAACGTGAAAGGGCATGTGTTTTTTTTTTTTTTTTTTTTGAAAATTATGTTAAGGCATGATGTTAATAAGGACTAGTTTTACAAAAAAAAAAAAAAAAAAAAAAAAAAAAAAAAAAAAAAAATCATATTATGATAATTTGTCTATTTTTTCAAATTTATAAATTTTGTAATTCAACAAAAAAAATCTTGTAAAATCTTTTTAAAAATATTTTTATGTATCTTATACCAACCTTAGTTGCCTTAAAGAAGATAATTTATTTAATTTCTTATTTATCTCTATTTAAATGTGCATCTTTATCGACAAAGTTATCAATATTAGCCAAGTTCATAACTAACTACCACCTAAATAGGATTTAGATATATTTGGGAGAATTTTTGTATTAACTGGTAGCTAATTTTTATTTAAATTATTTATTAATTTTATAAAAGTAAGTAATAATCAAAATTATATTTGTATCATTTATTTATAATGTTTTAAAATAATAATTTCTATAAAAAAATATTATTTAATTTTTTGTTTATATAAAGATAAAATATAATATATTCACTTTAAAAATTAAAAAATATATTCAAACTATTAAAAATTAAAGAAAAAATATTTATTTACGCATATAAGAAAATATTTATTACGCATATTAATATATAAAAATAATTATATTCTTAACCATTATTATGTATTTTATATAACATTCATAAGCCCATCGCTATTACCTATCGTCGCTGTCGGCTAAGCTAATACAAATAGTTAAACCAAACAACATTATCTTGCATTATACAAAGATATATTTATTTTATTTTGATAAATTAAAAAAAAATAATTAACATTATTTGAATAATAATTAACGTTATTTGAATAATAAATCTTACTTACATGTTTCCTAATAAATCATTATATGAATCTTAAATGTTACTCCATTTTCAGTAAAAAATTGAGTGGAAAAATTAATAATAATAAGAAATTAAATAAGGGTTTTTTTTTTTTTGAAAGGCTAAAGAAGGGTATATTGAACAACGAAAAAATTAGTTATTGATTATTAATTATACTTTTAAAAAGAGAGTTGACTAAAATGGAAACAAGTCTATTTTGAGGGCAAAAGTTTACTATGAGTTGTTGAATTATAATAGAATAACATGGACCATTTACAATTAATATACAAGAGTATATTATATTAAAAAAATTAAGAAAAATTGTATTTAACGATTTTAACTGTACATACGAAAATTAAATTAATTGTATAATTATGGAGAGGGATTATTTTTTTTATAGTACTTATAAAACAATTCATATGTGTATATATATATATACATATATATATATATAATCTCAGTCCCTAATATTTTTTTACATACGACAAAAAATTTAGTTAGTAATACAGACTGAATATGTAAATAGAGCTTTCAAATTCGATTTTCATTAAACGAGACAGTGTATTCGGGAACCTCTAGGGAAAGAAAGATGTAAGAACCTCTAGGGAAAGAAAGATGTAAGTGCCAATACGTTCCAATAGGAAGTCCACGGTTGGCTACCGGCGGCTAAAGTTTCTTAGTACTTCGCCAAAAGAGCTAAAACACAATTGTAGAAAGGGACAAAAAATTCTTGAGTTCGATCTAACTAAATATGTTTTCAGAATCTTAATTACAATTAAGTCTCGAGCCGAATTAGGTGGTACTAATAATAAAATCCAGATATCGCTGGCTTAAAAAAAAAAAAAAAAAATAAGTCTCTAGCCGAATTACGGTGGTACTAAATAATAAAATCCAGATATTCCGCTGGCTTTAAAAAAAAAAAAAAAAAAAAAAGTAACTAAACCGTAAAAAGAAAATGTAATCTGAGCTCGAATAAATAATGCAAACAAGCGATTTAAAGAACTTAACAATGAAAAAATTATGTCAGATGCGAATAAACATATATATATATAAGTTTATTCAGAATATAATAAGTAAAAATAAATATATGGCATATTTAGTTTGTCTATATGTAGTATTGCTTCACTCTGTACGGGCTTCTCTCATGAGCTTTTCTGCTTAGAAGACGTCCATCGGAAGAAAATAGTAACCGAATAAATCCAAAAGTGTTGAAGAGTATATTAAAAAATATTATGACATGGTCCAAACTTCATAAATAGCTGGCTTAAAAAAAAAAAAAAAAGTACTACCTAAAAAGAAAGTAATCTGAGCTCGGAATAATATGCACACAAGCATTTTAGAACTTACAATAAAAATTATGTCAGATCGGAATTAAACCATATATATATATATTTTGTTTATTCAGAATATAAAAAGAAAATACCAATTATGCATATTTGTTTGTCTTTGTAGTTTGCTTCACTCTTCGGCTTCTCTCTGAGCTTTTCTGCTTAGAGACGTCTCTGGAAGAATAGTAACGAGTATAATCCAAGTGTTGAAAGTAATTAAAAATATTATGACATGGTCAACTTCATAAATACAAATTGTTGAAGACTCAAATTGAAAAATCATATTCATTGTCATAATAATTTTTTCTCATCTTCTTCATTCATCAATTCAATTCTAAAAAGAAAGTAAAGAAAAAGGGAATGGAAGCAGCGGTAGCAGCAGACAGAGGCATGGAGTTTAGGTCTATAGAGGCTTTAGGTAAAGGTTTTGATCTGAGCAGTGATTTTAGATTGAGATTTGCAAAAGAAAAGCTTGTGGTGCTTGATGATGAAAACAAGAGAGATATATTAATTCCTGGTAGTGGTTTTACCATTCCTAATGTTTCTCAAGACATTCGATGCGATAAAGGCGATCGAATTCGCTTCAAATCTGATGTTCTTGATTTCAATCAGGTATTTTGATTTCATTTGATTTTTTTTATGTATTTATGAATTCGCTCTTCAATCTTGGTAAGTGTTTAGTCATTTTCAGTTCTTTTTGAAGTTGATAAATTTGAGATAAATTGTTACGAAAATGATGTTAATTACGCTGTATTCTTATGATGGAGTTATGATTAGCTTGGATTTATCTGTTGCTGGTATGGTGGCTTTGTTTGAGTATAATTGACTGCCTGAGGGTATACAGATTGGGTTTTACTTTGTCAAATTGTTGGATTAAGTAATGGATGAGAGTACGGACCACTCACCCTACTCTCAAGTTTTGCTTTTAGTAACACTGATAGGAGCGTCTAACTATTGCTTGGGCTTCATGGATGCTACTGTTAAACAAAATGATTGTCTTCCTATGTTGGTGAAACCCTACTTCACTTGTTGTATTTGGGATTTTCCTTTCACTATTTCTTGTATTTATTTATCCTTTTCCTTTTGACTTGGATATAGTGCTCCTTATCGTCCATTTTGCTATTTATTTATTTTTTACTTTGATTGTGCACCTAAGTAAAGGCACAGAAACAACCTCTTTGCAAAAGCAGGGGCACCACTGCGTACATCAACTCTCCCCAAAGCCCACTAATATGGAATGCTTCTTGCACCGGAAAATCCTTTTAAGCAGCTACAATCTCCTTTGTTAAGGTGATTTGTACGAGGATAAGTAGTGAATGGGTGACTTTGACTTTCATTTTGGAGTGTGTTTATGTGACAATAAGGATATTTGGCAGATGGGTTCTGTTTAATTTTATTCTCAAAAGCAGAAGTTGGATCGATTACATCTTTGCTTTGTGAAACATAATAGGTAAATTTCAAGGTAGCCTGTGTCTGCTAGATATTGATTTGGGAAATTATTGCCCGTACCAAGCTAAAAAAATCCCTCATCAAGATTTCATTATTGATATTTTTCTTATAGAATTTCTGGGTAGTTGGTGCAATTGTACCTTGGAAGCCTGAGATGTATATGTAGGCAGCATTTGTGCTTACATGGTTCTGTTCAGGTTCTGCATGATATTATAAACTTACAGGTTGACATTGAATTGCCATTGATGTTTTTTTGAGTGTTTTAATTTATTTGCATTTAGAGATATGTGAAGTTAGTCACGGTAACTGTTATATCTCATACATCTTGGTCAAAATTTTCCTCCTGATTCATTTATAATAAGTGATAACTGTTTGTTCCTTGCAGATGTCAGAGTTACTTAATCAGAAATCTTCAATACAAGGAAAAGTGCCTTCAGGCTATCTTAATTCTATTTTTGATTTAAGTGGAGACTGGTTTCATGATGCTTCAGACACCAAATATCTTGCTTTTGATGGTTACTTCATCTCGTTGTACTATTTGCACCTAACAGCATCTCCACTAATACTACAAGAGAAAGTAAAGAAAGCTGTTCCGCCTCGTTGGGATCCAGCATCATTGGCTAGGTACTTCTCGATTTAAATATCATCTGAAGTTAAATACATAGGATGATGATCATCTGACATTACTACCACTTCCAGTATTGAACTTATGATTATTTCTCCAATAGAATGAGCAAAATTTTGATTGCATCTGTCTGCAACATCAGCCATATTCATCAAATCATTTGTTCACATTGTGAAGCTTAATAGATAACTTACAGTCTACTTGTTCTTGTGATTGTAGAACCAATAGGAGATAAAAATTGGCTGAATTGTCAAGTTTTTCATTTGAGTTTTTTATCATAGATAAAAAGCAGTATGGATAGTGTAAAGTGGAAAACAAGAATTAATGTGCTGGGATAATAATAGACATCAAAAGTTGGACAATAAGAAGAAAAACCTAGGCAGTATCTTAGCACTGAACTTCCAATATGTAAATTCTCAATAATATTGTATTCTAGTCCGTTGAAAAGATACTTTTGCAATCTTTTTATGTAATATTTCAAATCCTAAAAACATTAATGTGAGGTTTAGATTCTATTGGTTTCATTTTGTATGTATTTGGAGCACAGGGAGGGATGAGGTAGTTTTAAGGCAAAAACTATATGTATGGTATTTTATACTCTCTTTTAAAAAAGCTATTTTTTTAATAAATAAAACCATGTTAGTAGATAGTGGTGATTGGTAATGATGGTAATGTGTGATGTTCTGAAGGTAGTAGTGGCGGTGGGGCCATGGGTATCGGTAAAGTAGAGGCTGTGTAATGGGGTGGGGGTGTCGGGGGGAGGTAGAGGCGTTATTGGGGCATCTCTTCAACAATTTGATATGATGCAATATGGACTATGTGAGCTGCATCAGTGTGGCATATCAACAATGGATGCTGATTAATTTTATTAGGCAGGTTCATCCGATCATTTGGTACACACATAATAGTGGGTATGGCTGTTGGAGGTCAAGATCTAATTTGTGTTAGACAGAAACCTACCTCACCAATTCCTCCTGCTGAGCTCAGAAAGCATTTGGAGGATCTTGGAGATTTTCTATTTTCAGATAGAAGAAGCCCGTCTTTACTACAGAGGAACACAAGAGATGGCAAACAAAAAGTACTCTTCTTCCTCTTTCGCATGTGATATTGTAATTTTATCCGTATGATGTTGCATTTGGTTCCTCTTTAGGATTTGATGATGTAATTTTTATTCATATACTCTCTGGTTAATGAAGTGGTGCTTTCATATAGGTTCCCGAGGTCTTTAGTCGTATTTTGCAGTCAAACACCATGCAATTGACCAGCATTACAGAAACATCAAGCAAAGATGTAAGTTGGAAACTTGGGATATATTGCATGTGTTCTGAAAAAAAGCACTATGCACGTGTGTGTGTGTGTGTTTTTTTTTAATAATCTTTTGTAACATGACAGGGCCTCACTATCATTTGTTCAAAAAGAGGAGGAGATGTGCTCTCACAGAGTCACTCCAGCTGGCTCCAGACAGTGCCAATTAAACCAGAAGCTATTCTCTTCAAGTTTGTACCCATTACTTCTCTTCTTACTGGGATTCCAGGCAGCGGTTATCTTAGTCATGCAATTAACTTGTATTTGCGATGTAAGTATGTCAAACTCAACTAGTGAAAAAGATGAACATTTCTTTTCTAAGTGGAACTGCCTCAAAAATTCTGTTTATGACTATCATTGCAATATTTAATGACTTAGGTTGCAGATATTGTACACTAACTTTTGAGCTCTTTTTCGATTTTTCACAATAGAGAAGAGGTCTAAGCTCTCATCTTGGGTTTATTGCAATAATTTCTTGAACTCCCTCGTTTTTCGGTTTTACACAAGTCATCATGGCTTGCTACAGATTTTTTGTCTTAGAGTTTGCATTATTTATCCTCTACTTGGACCAGCAGGATTCAAGCTTGAGAGACAAGCCATAGTTGTATCTCCATTGTCCCTATCTTGTCAGTGTGCAGACATAGACAAATGAATTAGATTGGACTATGGATGTGGTTCTTTTCCTGTGACCATTTGTTCCTTTTTCTTCTCCATCCTAGTGCCCATTGCTTGGGATTCAAGGGAAGGGAAGGAAAAGCAAGGGTTTTTACCAAAACCATTGGCAACCCAATGGCATCTCAATGTTGATTTTTTACTTCTTTGTTGATTAGTAATTCCTTGCAGTCAATAGATTTTTTTTTTTTTTTCTTTCAAGTTCTTGTTTTGCATAAATCAAGACTGTGTTCATTCTGCCTATCCAGACAAACCTGCTCCAGAGGATCTACAGTACTTCTTGGAGTTCCAAGTTCCCAAGCAATGGGCACCTATGTTTTGTGAGTTGCCTCTTCGACATCAAAGAAAAAAAGCTTCTTGCCCTTCCTTGAGATTCAGCTTTATGGGTCCTAAACTATATGTTAGCTCTACCCAGGTAAGACTACAATTATAAACCAAGCTGTAGACTACCACTTCTGTTAGCTTGTTTAAATTTTTCTAAATTTTACTGGTCTTACCCTGCCCCACATCGCCATATACAAACACACACACATGACAATAGTTAGAATTTTCATTTTAGGGGATTGTTTTGCTTTCTGTGAATTCCTCAGGGGGTGAAACTCCACTTCTTTTTCTCTCTTTTGTAAGATTTTCATCTTAATACTTCTACGGAAGAAAAGACATAAAGAGCAGAAGGCCTGGGGTAGCATATACATCAGAGGAATAAGGGTGATGTCAAAAAAAAAAAAAAAAAAAAAAAAAATATCGTATCAGATGAAATAAGGTGGATGTCAAAAAAAAAAATAAAAAAAAAAAAAAAAAAAAAAAAGAAGAATGTCAGAATAGTGATAATATTTCCAGTTGAGTAATGAACTTCTGCTTTTTCTAGAAACCTACTAGTTTTCACCTTTTACATGAAAGGCAAAGTGAGTGTTGGGGGTTTCCTTCTATGAAGAGGGTGCTCAAATATGGAAAGAATTTTAGATATGCATGGATTTCTCTAAAGTTCTATTTAGCTGAAGGCTAATTTGCAATTTGTTTCAAGTATTATGCTTGGGTTTATTCAATTTCAATTACCTGATCTGAATGTACTATTGAAGTTTGCTTTTCTGGTTATCTTATAGTCTAAGATATGTTGTTGACCTGAGAGTTCTGAAATTAATAATGATATATGAATGAGCTTCATACCAAAATTAGAAATTCTCAAACAATCAAGAATTGGGATATAAAAGCTGGCAGTTGTTTTAGGTCAGTGACCTCCCTATCAAGGTGGTTATACTTGTCCATTAAATCAAGCTAGAAAGCAAAGGAAATATATTGGGAAGCACCAATTCTGTGTCTCCTGCTTGTTTGTTTGTTGTATGTCTGCACAGTCTGATGTGGGATTTAGTTTTGAGGGAAGAGCTGAAGATTTTCTGAAGATATTATAACTTGTACAGTATGTCATCCGATTCCTCTTTACCTTGGATAAGATGTTATCCTCCCATTTTTTCATGCATACGGTTATATGTCCTTGTCTTTTGGCAATGTAAATTTGTCCTTTTTTTAGGCTTATGTTATTGTTGTACCGAAAGCAACTTATCACTACCGAATTTGGGCACTTGAAAAGAAATGTTAAATAATCCGTCCTTCAATCCTTGAACTAGTGCAGTTATAGGTCTCTCCAAGTATGAAACAAAATTTAATCCATATTTGATATTACTGCATCTCCAGATTCAAATTTTAGAAATTTTACGCAAAGGAACTGCAAGAATAGCATTACAAGTTGCAGTTATCAATCATAAAATGACTAGTTTCTTCATCTTGTGACATTTCAGGTTTCAAGTGATAAAAAACCTGTGGTTGGTGTACGCTTGTACTTAGAGGGGAAAAAATGCAATCGACTAGCATTGCACCTACAACATCTTTCAAGCCTCCCAAATATCATGAACTTTTCACCACCTGACACATCCATATGCAAGCAATGCGAATGGCGAGGCTCTGATGATTATAGATCGAGCGACCAGTTCTTGGAACCAGTTAGATGGAAGAGATACTCTAAAGTGTGCACTTCTGTTGTTAAGCATGATCCCAACTGGTTGCAGGGAGATTCAAATGGTGTTTTTATAGTAACGGGTGCGCAGCTCCTTAGCAAAGGGAAGTGGCCGAACACGGTACTTCACCTTCGTCTACTTTTCTCACATTTACCCAACTGCACTATCAGGAAAACTGAATGGACCATTGCACCAGAAGCGTCTCGTAGGTCGAGTTTTCTCACTACTCTGAGTACGACATTCACATTTACTCAGCGAACCATGGCTGGTCCTGAAAAGAAACCTCCAGCTGCACTGAACTCTGGCATATATCCGGATGGTCCTCCAGTTCCAGTTCGCTCCGGAAAGCTGCTTAAATATGTGGAGACAGCTGAGGTGGTACGCGGTCCGCATGATGCTCCTGGCCATTGGTTGGTTACAGCTGCTAAGTTAGTAACTGAGGGTGGTAAGATAGGTTTGCATGTGAAGTTTGCATTGTTAGACTATCTATGAATTTTCACCATGTATATATTTTGGAGCTGATTTTAAATCTCTGTTTTTTTTTTTTTTTCATTATTTATTTCCAATGTTTATAGTATTCTTTTATAGTGTTTTGAGTCATTTTGAGAGATTTACCTCAGTTTGTACAGAAAATGAAGTAGAAAGGATTGTTGAGTTGACTTTTTGGGATGTTGGGATTTGGTTTGTAAAAGTTGAGAAGGCCATTTGTTTTTCGTTTCTGGTGCGGAAAATATTGCTATGCTTTGCTGTGCTTCTCGAAAGGATAAAAGGTGAAATGCCTAATTAGGATTTTTATGCTGTTTCCTAACCTTACAAAACAATATATATATATATATATTGTTTTATAATTAGTATTTTGTATTTAAATAAAATTGTTATGTTAAGTTTGTTCGGTTAAGTCCGTGTTGACGGCACTTTTCTCTTCTCCCTCTACACTCTGACTTAATTCTGGGGATCCCAGATTAAGGTTGCAGGAACCTAAAACTTCCATATATAATGATTTATTTTCAATTGTTTTAATTAAATATTGTTTTATATTTAGTATTATGTATCTTACAAACATTTTCTTTATATAATATCTATCTTTTAATTTGATTATTATTCTTTTTTTATATATTATTATTTTTGTAATTTACAAGAAAATTGTTATCGTTAAGTGGTTCGTGAAGTCGTTTGTTCTGCATTTCTCTCTCTCCCTCCTACACTCTTGACTTAATTTCATTTAGGGTGGATTTCCCAGTTTTCAACTTGCAGGCAATACCTAACATATCTTCCCCACTTATAGATGATTTATTCTTCAATCTCGTGTAACTTTCTAAAGATTTAGTCATCCCTATTTTACATGTAGTATTTTTAATAGTACTATTATATGGGGAAGCTCAGTGTTATTCTTGATTGTTTACTATATTAATTATATTTCATTCTGCATGTCAATCTTTTCACAGTCTTCCTATATACTTCCGTGAAAGACAGGAAGCGCTGTTGATTGCAATAGTACTCTTATGGTCCTCTTGTCAATCTAAAACTCAATAGTTCACAGTTAATTAAAATATAGCACAAAGCAGATAAGAATAAAACAAGTCAAACACACCTGAGCAAAGAAGAACCTAAAAAATTAAAAGAAAAGAATTATAGAAAAAGACGACCACGTTCATAGACATTTCCGCATCTGGCTTCGTGATCCTCCAAAATAAGGCAGAAAATGTTATTATTCCTCCCAGCACTATAAATCACTTATTTCAACTCCGTAAATAGCAAGGTTACCAGTTTAACAGGAAAGGTTCATTAGACTCTTGGGTTGAAGGAACAGCACACCACACTGAACTTTTTTTTTGTCATTCAAAATTCAGTACCAAGAGTTATTTTTCAAGAATTATCACCTAAATCCTTATGAGCAACCAACCACTATTCATCAACAGTGATATAAGATCATTAACCCTAGTAAAGATATCTCAATTATCTCTATATAATTTAACGTTGACCCTCCCTTGGACAAACATAAATATAAAAATTTAATTCAAGCCCAAAGTAATATCCTTATCTCTCCCCTTTTTTCATAATCGCCCCTCTCTTCCTTTTTTGATTTTCTCTATTCTCATTGGAAGCCAATCAAAGTTGGAGAAAGTTCTATTAATTACAATACCTTTCTTGAAAGTTTTACCATGATAAATATTGTTTTTAGTTTTTATGTTATCTTACTATCAATCAATTTCGTATTTAAATATGATATGTTACTCTTTGCTCTCTATATTTCTCGTTGTGTATCTCACTTCTCTTCTTCTATCCCTCCAATCTTTGACTAATTTCTGGGAAAATCAGAATATAGGTTTCTGCCTGATATAACCCCGAAAAACTACCAATATAATGTATTTTTTCTCTTATTTGTTATAAATTAAATATTTGTAATCCTATTTTAGATATATGTGTGTTAAATAATTTTCTACTATGCGCAGTTTGTATTCTCATCCCTTTGATTTATTTTTGTTTATGTACAGACAACAAATATGAGATACTATGAATAATATTAAGATTAAATAGAGTGTGGATGGCCAAAACATATGACAACTGTTGTAGGGAAAGCCAAGTGTTTTTTGTAGAAACGGCTACTAACAGGCCACTGGTAACTCCCACCTAGGTTTGGATTATTTAGAGGATCCTTCTCGCGTCGTTATGATCGAGTAATGTCCAGATCGGTGATTGTAATCTGTGAACTCTTATAAAACAAGAGAATAAGAGGAATAGTTTAATGTTAAGCTATTTGTAACAAGGATTTAAGTTTATAATCCGAGTTACATTCGACTTAGAGTTGGCAAATAACCTAGTGAGAATTACAAAGTAGATCAAAATCTTGATAAAAGTAGTCCCTTATTCTTAATTTGTATCGGAGAAAACTTCGAATTTAAGTGTTTTCATGTACAAAACTAGTTAATAAGACTAATGTATAGTCGATTTTCAATTATCTTGTTAAAACTTCATATTTTGATCAAGGATAGTATTTAACTTTACCTCTCTCTCTCGTTCATATACATACAACTAGACCTCTATATGAAAACACAAAATGTCTTAGTAATATTCAATTATCAGGTTATTGTTAAATCACATAAGTTATGTGTTATTATAATACCCATAAACTAGAGTGTTCCAGTATTTCATAAACTCACATAAAGTCTATATAATTAAGAGCAGGGTAAGAGAATAGTCAGATTATTAGATAACTCTTCAAATGATTCTTTAGATATAGAGATTATTCAAGTGATTGAGATAAACATAGTTTAAGTTGATGACCCATATTTTCCTTTATAGTATTACCCAGATATATAACTCTATTTTTCTTAATTTATGATATATAATACATTTTTAGATATAGTATTGGATCATTTAGAAATTTTATAATCTCCTATATTATTCAATAAATGAAACAAAGTGTACTATCATTTACCATAGACAATTTATAATTAATATATGATTATCATTATATATAAGTGCTACATAGAAAAATTCACACCGTGCATTTGGGTACTAAATATTAGTAAACCACCTAAAAGATAGGAGAGAAAACAATTACGTACAGAAAGAATATATATCTAAAACTAATAACAATATAATATTACTAAACTCATTTCAACTTATGACATCTTCATTACCAGTAATGACATCAGATACTTAGAAGTGTATTAGTTATCCCTCTCAATTCACAGAAAGTATATATCTAAATCTACAAAAAAAAAAAATTGAATAGCAAATATAAGATGGTAAGTAACATTATATTTCAATACGAAGTCTCAGTTCAAGATATACAAGAGTTCATCAATCATTCTCATCATCTTCTGTCATAACAGATGATATGGAAAAACCCTCTTCAAATATACCTTCAGTCATTTATGCAAAATATAAAGATACTGAACCTAAACCTATTATTCAAACACTAGTCAAACCTAGGTACTCTACTTCAGATATTCCAAGTTTAGGTCCATCTCTTAAAATGAAAGGTGTTGATTATAGCTCCTCAATTCCGCAAGCAGTTTATAATCCAATAGAAAACTATGTAAACCAGCAATCAAATTTAGCAAACTCATCACCTGGATCACCAACAGCTTCGGCTATCACTGAAAATATACAAGAGATAAATAGAGAACTAAATGTACTTAGTAAAGACGATATTGAGAAAGGACTAATAAAAGAAATTACAAAAACCAAAAATCTGATGAAATTAAATAGGATCCTAAAAACTCATACCTTTGAGGATTTAAAATATGAATATTTGAATTATAAACTAAATACTCAAACTAAAATCAACTTCTTTGATTGGTTTGCATTAACTAAAGAAAATGGTTCCACTAAAAGTTTAAAAAGTTAAATCCAATCGACCATTTACGAGATTAAGGCACCGAATCGGATTTGTTAATGCGGAAATTTTCTATTTTCATTTTCCTAGACTTATACAAATGGATTTTCACCATAAAAAGACAATTAGTAAATTAAAATCAAATGAAATCATGTCATGAGCCCCCATATAAAACTAGCTAGAGGACTAGATACAGATAAAAACGTAAATAGAAATCAAAAATTTTAGTCTATGCAGTTTAATTTGTTTAAATTTACAATTTAAGACGATAGAACTATATATAGAAGATAATAAACCATTTAAGTAGGACAAGTAAAAGGTAAAGAAAAAGAAAAAATCTCAGTAAAGAAAAGATAAAATCTCACATTTTTAAACCATATCAACTTTCTCTATCTAGTCAAAAGGAATTACAAAATAAATTTCTAGGCACATTAAAAGATCAGCTAAGTAAACTCGAATTACATTCAGAATCTACGCAACAAGTAGCACCTGAAACCCCTCAAACATCTAGAAATATAAATATAATAGAAGGAAACTCTCACTCTGAAATCAGTGAACCTGAGTCTGAAGATATAAAACAATTTGAAATCAACCCAATATCACATAGAGAAATAGTAAATAGAGCACCAGATTTAGGCTTAATAGATAAACCAAATCACATATCTCAATTTAAATATTAATGCTTAACTACAAGTTATTTGAATGGGAATATAGATGGTTATTCTGAATAAAATTATAAGTACTATTCCAACAAATGGACTATGGCACTAAGCTTATAAAAACATCAGTCAATTAATATCAATAGGGCTATACAAAATAATTATAGCAGGATTTACAGGCAATAAAAGGTTGGTGGGATTATATCCGACCAACAACATTTATAAAATATAAAATTCCGATTCATGGTTACGTGAAGTGAGAACCAAATTATGATGATGAAAGATGAATGAAACTATTCAAGAACTGCGTAGTGGTTAACATTAATTCTCCCCACTATTTCATTACATTTTATAGGAGATACCATCCATTTAAAAAGATATAAAAAGTTGACAGAATATTAATCATTACATTTTATAGGAGATCCATCCCATTTAAAAGATAAAAATGCAGAATTATTAAGCAATCTAAAATGTAAAAAATTAAGTGACTTCCAATATTATAAGACTACTTTCCTTACTAGGTTAATGTTAAGGGAAGATTCCAATCAAGCCTTTTGGAGAGAGAAGTTCTTAGTAGGACTACCTTTTTTCTTGAGCGAAAAAGTCAGAAATTATATAAAACAACAATTTGGTAATCCAATACCTTATAATAAATTAACATACGGACAATTAATCAGTATAATTCAAAAAGAAGGATTACAAATTAAGGA